ATTTGTCTGAGAAACTGGCTATAAATCCCCCCAATTTTCTGTTTTCCTTCTAATCTTGGATATATTGGTTTTATTTGTACAAAATCTCTTTAATGTAATTAAAATTATCCATTTTACATACCACAATGCTCCCTACTCTTATTTATTCATAAATTCTTCTCTTACCCATAAATCTGATAGGTAATATGTTTCACGCTCTTCTAATTTACTTATGATATCACCCATTATGGCTAGGTCATGTATCCATTTTGACCTTATGGGGTAAGATATTGGTCTATGCCTAGTTTCTGCCAGACTGCTTTCCAGTTTTCCCCAGCAATTTTTACAAAGTAGTGAGTTCTTATCTCAAGTTCTTATCCCAGTTCTTAGAATTTTGCATTTATCAAATGCAAGGTTACTATAAACGTGTAGTGTATGTTTACTGTATTCCATTGATCCACCATTCTTTTTCTTAGCCAATACCAGAGAGTTTTCATAATTACTGTCTTAGAATAGAGTTGAGGGCAGCTAGGTGGCCCAATAGATAGAGTATCAGGCCTGGAGTCAGAAAGACTTCTCTTCCTGAGTCCAAATCTGGCCTCAGACACTTAATAGCAATGTGACCCTGGGTAAGTCACTCAACCCTGTTTGCCTTAGTTTCCTCATCTGTAAAATGATCTAGAGAAGGAAATGGCAAACCACTTTAGTATCTTTGCCAAGAAAACCCCAAATTGAGTCAAGAAGAGTTGGACATGTCTGAAACAACTGAACAACAACAAATACAGTTTAAGATTTGGTACTGCTAGACTTTCTTCCTTTGCATTTTTTTCATTAATTCTTTTTATATTCTTGACCTTTTATCCTTCCAAATAAATTTTGTTATTATTTTTCAACCTCAATAAAATAATTTTTGGTAGTTTAATTGGGATGACAGTGAATAAGTTGATTAGTTTAGGTAGAATTGTCTTTTTTATTATACTGGCTTGGCCCACCTATTAACAAAGAATGTTTCTCTGATTATTTAAATCTGACTTTATTTGTATAAAAAGTGTTTTTATAGTTACATTCCTATAGTCCCTGGGTTTGTCTTGGCAGGTATACTCCCAGGTATTTTATATTGTCAATGATTATTTTAAATGAAATATCTCTTACTATTTTTTCTTGCAGAGCTTTGTTAGTGATATAGAGGAATACTGATGATTTATGTGGCTTTATTTTATATCTTGCTACTTTGCTAAAATTATTATTTCAGCTAATTTTTTAGTTGAATTTCTAGGATTTTCCAAGTATACCATCATATTGTCTACAAAAAGAGGTAGTTTTATTTCCTCATTGCCCATTCTGATTCCTTCAATTTCTTTTTCTTCTCTTACTGAGATTGCTAATGTTCCAATATAATATTAAATAACATTAGTGATAATATGCATCCTTATTTTACTTCAGATCTTATTAAAAAGGTTTCTAGCTTATTCCCATTACAGATAATGGTTGCTGATGGTTTTAGATAGATGTTTCTTATCATTCTAAGGAAATATCCATTTATACCCATGCTTTCAAGTGTTTTTAATAGGGATGAGTACTGTATTTTGTCAAAAGCCTTTTCTGTATCTGTTGATGTAATCATACTATTTTTATTGATTTTGTTATTGTTATAATCAATTATGTTAATAGGAATCAGAATGGGCAATGAGGAAATAAAACTATCTCTTTTTTGTAGGCGATATGATACATTCCTAGTATAATTCCCACTTGGTCACAATGTATAATCTTTGTGAAATAATGCTGTAGTCTCCTAGCTAGTATTTTATTTAGGATCAGAAGGCTACTAGTTGAGTATATGGAATTTAGACACAGGAAATTCACTTTTAGTTCACTTTTAGAAGCATAAAAATTGGAAGATTTGGGAGTTGGAAGGGACTTCAGAGGCCATTTACTCCAATCTGTGCTGGCACATAGTAGATATTTGATAAATACTAGTAGACTTGACTTGAATGAGAATCTCACCTACCACATAGCCTGACAAGTGGTACTATTATTGTCCCTATTTTACAGATGAGGAAACTGAAGCAGAGAAGTTAAATGAGGTACCAGAGTCACACAGCTGGTATCTGAGGCTAGATATGGACTCAGGTCTTCCTAACTCTATTCACTAATCAGTACTCTATTCCCCTTGCCAGGCTTTTTCCTTTAGGTAGAAAATCAATAGAAAGTATCATATTTGGGTTAAAAAGATAAACTTCATAAAATGAGAGAAGTGTGGCTAGAGAAGTTCATCTAAAACGTATCTAGGAACTTTAGTGGATTGTAAGCTCAATATTAGTCAATGCAATATGGTAGCCCAAACCTCTAATGCAATCTTAGCCTGTATTGAGATGCATGGTGTCCAGAACTAGAGAGGTGGTCATTCCATTGAACTCTGTCCAGGTCAGATCACATCTGGGGCACTGCACCCAATTCTTTGTGATACGTCTTAGGAAGGACATTGATATACTAGAGAGTATCCAAAGGAGAGAGACTAAGATGGTGAAGGGTCTCATTCATGCCATATCAAGAATGAGGGAGGTTAACTTGGAGAAAAAAAAAAATTAAAGTTGGTATCAAAACTGTCTTCAAGTATTTGAAGGATTGTCACATGGAAAAGGGATAATACTTTTTATTTTTTATTTTTTTTGCTTGGCTTCAGGGGACTGAGCTAGAAGCAATGGGTATTAAGTTACAAAGGGAAATTTAGGCTTGATATAAGGAAAAATTTCCAAACAATTAGAGATGTCTCTAATTGGAATAGCTTGACTTAGGTCTACTCCTCTCACTAGTGGTCTTTAAGTGAGGAAAAAGGGGGGATTAGGACTGCAAGTGCTTAATTGTGGGAATTGAGTGAACCACATGGACTCCATCTTGTGACTTAATTCTGGAGCTAGATTAGTTCCCTTTCTATTCAATTACAGGTCTAATCTAATTTCTGCCTTGTGAAAAAACTTTATTCAATTGTGGGGATTGGGAGAAAACATTATTGCATTGTTTGAACCTAGCCCTTTGTGGTGGGGAAACTGGACCACCTCTTCCTGCTGCTAGGTCCTTAACTAAGGACTTAGGTTATGCTAATCGGGAAACCGGTCAGATCCAAAAACTGATGCAGGGAGTTTTCTCACAATTATATATTTCCAGCCATCCATTTGTCTTCTCAGAAAACTGGACCTGTACTGGTCAATCAGTTATTGTTTCCTTGTTCCTTTGATTGAATACAGTCACTTGGGGGGGGGTGGTACCTTTGCTTCTGAATTCAGAGAACTGCACCTGTTTGCCCTCCCCCTCCCAATTTAGAAAGCCCCTAATCTTTCCTCCAATTAAAAACCAGCTTACCTAATGTTGTATTGGTTCTTTTTAATTAATTGGCCTTATCTGATTAATTGTTTTTAATGTGTAAAAGTCTGTCACCCCCTGTTCTGGGTTCAAACTTAAACCGAGGAAAGGTCCTGGTTCCAATTTGTTAGGCAATTGGCAAGCATTGCTTCATAAATCGATATGCTTGGAAGATTGAACATATTTCCTCAGTCATTTCATCTTTTACCTGCCACATAAGCAAAGGCTGTATGACCACTGGTCATGTTATGTGGTAGATGAGCTTCTCATTCAAGTCAAGTCAATTAATATTTATTAAGTATCCACTATATGCTAGTCACAAATTAGACTAGGTAGACTAGATAGTCCCTTCCAAATCCTAGATTCTCTGATCTTATGGTTCTACAAGTGAACTAAAAGTGAATTTCCTATGTCTAAATTCCATTTACTCAACTAGTAGCCTTCTGATCCTAATGTCATTTCCCAAATACATTTCTCTACTCAAAAAAGATTTCTGAATATAATTTGAAAAGTGTCATTATTATCATTAGCATTATCCTTATCCTTATCATCATCATTGTCAGGCATGACATAAATCTGGTAAGTGTGAATTTGCCCGTATGTTAACTCAATTTCCTAGCATGGAATCATAGAAACAGAACTTAATTTGGAGTCAGACAGCCTACAATCATAGAAATCTGGAGGTTCTGCCACTAACCTGTGTTGTGAGGCAGTTAGATGGCACAGCTGATGGAGTACTGGACCTGAAGTCAAGAAGATCTAAATTCAAATTTAGCCCCAGACACTTACTAGCTGTGTGATCTTGGGCAAGTCACTTAACCACGGTCTGCCTCAGTTTCCTCATTTTAATAATAATACCTACCTCACAAGGTTGTTGTGAGGATCAAATAAGATATTTGTAAAGTGCTTAATACAGGGCTTAGCACATAGTAATCACTACATAAATGTTAGCTATTATTATTAAGTTGGGCATTGTCATTGGGCAAGTCATTTTTACCTATCTGGCATTCAATTTCCTCATCAATAAAATGAGGGGGTTAGTTGCAATGATCTCTAACATCTCTTCCAGTTCTAAATCTTATGATTGTATGATCCCTAAGATAAGTGGGGCAAAGTTTTAGATTTATAGAACTGAGAAATAAAACTCTCAAGTAGAGAGAGGCACCAGAAACCCTAGGGCAAGGGTGGGGAACCTATGACTTCAAGGCCACATGTAGCCTTCTAGGTCCTCAAGTGCGGCCTTTGACTGAATCCAAACTTCACAGAACAAATCCCCTTAATAAAAGGTTTTGTTCGTAAAACTTGGACTCAGTCAAAAGGCTGCACCCAAGGACCTAGAAGGCTACATGTGGCCTGTAGGCCACAGGTTCCCCACCCCTGTCCTAGGGCCTTTCCTGACTTTAGCTTCATTTTCAAAGACATCTAAGTTTCAATCCCCATGCAAAAGAAACACTGGTGAAAGAACTGAAAACCTTGCAGGGCTTGAGACAATATAGGGAAAGAGGAAGGTGTTAATGGAATGCCAGGATCCAAGCCTTGTTTGGGAAAAAATGAAATCTTTTTAATGTTCAACAGTGTTACATTCATCTGGAAAATCTGAATATAATTCATTGAAAACCAAGACAAAGACCATCTTGGCTTTAAAAAGAAAAAAAAACCCAAAACTTTAAACTTATTTTATTAGGGATAAGGACCCTAAAACCCCAACACAGGCTGAGAATCCAGTGCAGTTCAGGATGATTAACATATCCAGAGATGTACAGGTTAATACTTAAGATAATCTTTAAATAAACTGCTACTTGCCAATAAAAATATCATTAAATAAAAAAGAGATTTATTTATTTCCATATTTACAAAAGAATGATGCCTATTTCTTAAAACTCTGTTTGGGATTTTTTGGTGCTGATATTTATAGTGGGAAAGGATGTTTCCAATTGCTGAGTGTATTTGGGAAACACTGCACAGTTCAGTCTATTGAGTACCGTTGAAAAATTCGGCATCCTCGTTATGAAGTGATGCTTGGATTCTTCTCTAGCTGTTACTCTATCGAAGAGCCTCTGGCACTTCCACCTACAAAACAGGGGATTGTTGTTCTCATTAAGATAGCATATTAATAATGAAAGCTATCATCTGTTATAGAGATATATGGGTATTCTCGGATCAATATGCAAACATAACTCCCCTTCTAGAATAATGATGCTATTGAAAAATTGTGGGCTATTTCAGCTTTTTTGGGTATCAACTCATATAATTTTAAATGTATTCATTATTTAAGGGATTATTTTTGTGAAAGGAAGAATCAATTTAAAAAGCTCATTATCAGTCTGATTTAGGAAGGAAGTACTTTTACATAATGGGTTTTCTTAAAACAGGGGCTTTGAGGATATACTGGAGCTCTGAGTGAGTGAACAAGCATTGGCATATTTCCCAACTGGAAATGTGCTCAGTGGTGTCCTATGTTCCTAGTATATCCAGCTGGTATGTTTGCTCTTGCATACTAAAATATTTAGAATATTAAAAAAGTATTTTGGGAAGTGACTTTGGTACCATCATGCAATTGAAGCCAACTCATCTGCTAATTCTGTGCCCAAATGCCAGCTCTCAGGTTACTTACCCGCCTTAACTGTCTTATACTGCTTCCCCGAATTTCATCCATGAGGTTGTCATGAGCTGATCTCTGTGGGGTGGAGGGTCTTGAACTTTCTTCTGTTTTCTTTTCCTGAACTGACCTTAATGAATTTTTTATCTCCTTCAAAATATTGTTGGGTTGTTTCTTGATCTTTTTCCCTTTTTTCTTTTTCTGTCCATTTTGCAATGCCCTTTGAGCATTCTCCTGTTGTTTGATGACTTCTGCAATGTTTCGGGTTATTAACTTTTTCTCTGGGAGAGGAGGTGGGGGAGGGGGTGGGGGAGGAGGTAGTGGTGGCATATGGGGTGGAGGAGGAGGAGGAGGTGGGGGTGGTGGAGGAGGAGGAGATGGGGCCGCGGGAGATGGGGGTCGACTTCTTATAGACTGGACTTTCTTAGGCAGTTTTGGAGATGACCATGGAGAATGTCTAGGGGATGCATAAGGTGAAGAGCCAGGAGTTCCCCTCTGCCAAACTTTGTTTCTGAAGTTGGATCCACCATCATACCCCTCTTGTTGCTTTTGCTCCTGCATCCGTTTCTGCCTCTGTTTGTCCATATTTCTTGTCAAAATACTCGTCATGCTCATTCTTGGTCCAGCAAGTTCAAAGTGATAGCCCAGCCTCACCAGCGTTGTGTTCTCCTTCAGTAACTTAACAATCTCCATTTCTACCTGGCTGCCCATGATATGCCTTTGGTTGTGAAACCGCAGTTCTGTCAGAACCGTGTTGTGTTGAAGGGCCCGCATGATGGCCAGAATCCCTTTGCCAGTGATGAAATTTGATTCGACGTTGATACTGGTTATGTGCTGGTTGACCTTCAGCATCTCTGCAATTGCTATGGCAGCAGTGTCATCAGCCTTTGTATTGGCCAGGCTGAACGTTTTCACCACTGTGTTGTTCTTGAGGGCTTCGGCAAAGCGGGTCAGATTCGGTGTTGTGATGTTTTCAATGTTGTTCAGGTTGACCTCGGTGGTGTCGGGGTCATTGTTCTTCACCCTTTCCAAAGCATCTTCAATAACAGTGGGATTGCCACAAGGGTGAATGGCAGTAGGTGATTCTGTGTTTCTGCCACTGTGGCCATTAGTTAGGTTTATGTTTTCTATTTGACTCTTAAATGTCTTTGGCTTAGGGCTATCAGAACGGCCCGGTACACAATTCAGAGTTCCCTGACTGCCCTCTAGGACTTCAGGCTTCCTTTCTGCTTTATCTTCTTCATCACTTTCTTCTTCATCTTCTTCCTCTTCCTCCTCCTCCTCTTCAGTATAAACCTCTTCAGAGATCTCACTGTTGCTTTCTGTAAAGATAAGTTCTTCCTCACTGTCTTCTTTGTCTTCTTCTGTACCCTAAATAAGGAAGGCAGGTGTCATGATTAAATGGTAACTATTAGTTTTGTTTTCCATATTATCCATAGCTCAAAAATGCTCAGAATTCAGTTGATCAGTGATAACATGACAAGACAATCCCTAAAGGTCTTAAATAACATAACTGTAACAATTTAAACAGGTATTATGGTGAAGATTTCGGTGCTAATACATCTCATGGTACAGGCTTTTCTCTTTCTCTTGGTTTTACCAAGGGCCCATTTCTTGGGCTCTTATCTCCTGACTCATTTATAATATGTCAGATTTAACCATCCTTCAAGAACTGACACTCCCACCCCCCTCCAAAAATAAACAGGCAAGCAAACAAAAAAATGAAAACAAACTGATACTGATAATCTAAAGAATGTGGTAGCAAGGACTCTGTGAATTTTAAGAGCTGAAGCCAAAAGTCAGGAGAGGCTTTTCAGTTCAAATGTGAATATTCCTTTTTTTTTTTTATCAATTTAAATGAGACCTAAAACGTAGCAAAAATATTACACTGCTTTTATTTCACTAGAATAGAGAATAATTAATTAGTTTGTTTGGAAAATAGACTAGTCTTGATTTGATCACCAGGACATTTTATCTGAAGGTCAATATAAAGGACTTATTCATTAAAAATATTATTCATAATAAAATATGCTTCATTTGTATATCTTTTTATGACTTTCAAAGAACTTACACATAAGACATTAGAAAACTAAGGCTTGCAGTAACTTGCCCAAGAGGGTTGAATAAAATGTAGTTCTTGAGATCACCAAGCTCTCTTATCATCTATTACCTCAATTGTCTTTTAAAAAAAACAACGACTCAGGACTAATTCATCTCTTTCTCATTAGTCTGTATGTAAATCATAGAAAAAAGACTTTCAGAAAGTTGGACATATTTGACAAAATAAATTCTCAAACTCAAATGTATGTGCTGAGGTTTTACATTGCAATTTTTTGTTTTGATCCAGAACTATGATTTCATCAATATCTGGAACTGCCTATTTAAAGAAACAAAAACAAAGACAAAAAACAAAAAACAAACAAACAAACAAAAAAAAAAACAAGGGGCACAGTTTCAAGAAGTATAGAGGTTGTCTCCAAAGTCCTAGTTCAGTTTTAAGCTACCAAAACTTAAATTTAAACTTAAAATTGTACTAGACGTGGAACATCCTATATATGATTTTGGAGATTTGCTTGGGATATTGAGAGATTAAGTGTAAAGGCAGCTAAGTTGCACAGTGGATAGAGTGCTGGGCCTGGAATCAAAAAAATTTGAGTTCAAACCCAGCCTCAGATATTTAGTAGCTATGTGACCCTGGGCAAGTCACTTAAATTCTGCCTGCCTCAGTTTCCTCAGTTGCAAAAAATGGAGATAGTAACAACACCTATGTCGCAGGGTTGTTGTAAGGATCAAATGAGAAAGCCTATGTGAAGCTCTTAACACAATGCCTGGCACATAGTAGCCGCTTAATACATGTTTGTTCTATTCCCTTCCAAGAAACTTGCTCCTACTCACATAGCCAGTATGTGTCAAAGAGAGGACTTGAACTCAGGTCTTCTTGTTTCCAAGCACAGAACTCTATTCACCATCTTTTCAGTTCAATTCAACTTTTCAGTAACTGTGCTCAAAACCGTTAAGTTCTTCGTGGGGAAATGCACAGAAATAAGTTGTAAACCTGCCAAAATTTCCATTGTCTCTAAAAATTTCTTCTGTACCTTATCACTCAGGAAATCCCCAGAGACCTTCTGATTCTTGACCCTTTAAACTCCCTGGGTCAGATTTTTTCCTGGGATGACACTCCTGGTTTAATGGTTATTGAATTCACAATCACAAAGAAGTCCCCTTTTCTGCCCTCATCTAAGCAGTAGGTGCTGTTCTTCCACAGCAGGGCTTCTATAACAATCAGAATTGCATAACTTTGGCCCCAAAGCATGGTGCATTATTACCATCCCTCTGCCTATGGGTATAAGTCTCTGTTCACCTTTTATCGTTTAAGAAAAACTTTAGGCCTTAACGACAGGGGAAAAAATTTGACCAACATTCAATCCAATAAACGTTTATTAAGCACCTTCTATGTGCCAGGCATTAGATTAGAATGTAAAGGGATGAGTTATCATAGAGATTTATATTATATATATTCATTGGCTATATTGTTCAAAATAAAGATACAGAATAAGGTACAAAAGGGGGACTAATAGAGGATTCATTAACAAATATTCACTGATTATATACAAGGTACAAAGCACTGGACTAGTACTTTGTGAGATACAAAGAAGAATAAGGCCTATAATAAGAATAAGAATATTCCTAGGCCTAATGGAGATTGCAGTTTGGTAAATATTTTGATGGCTGCTCTATTGGGGCACCAGATTACTGCTAGGGACACAGGCAACACTATCCAAAAAGGTTTGGAATCCAGGCAAAAAGCAAGATAGAAAAATCTGTACAAGCATGGTGGATGCAAGAACAAATCTTGCAAGACTGACAGCATTCAAGATAGGTTGGGGAAAGATGTTTCTTTTACAATAGACAATACCCAGCTGTTATACAGAGTCAAGGATGTTGCTGAAGATTCATCTTGGGCATTTGGAAAAAATAACAAAATGTTATTTTAACCATCATTTAATTATAGTAAAAATTAGAGTAACAAAGGTACCATGCTTTTAACAGCAGTGTTTTTCCAGTGATCTTGTACCATGAGTTGTAAGACACCAGTCTCCAAAGTATTGAAGTTGAGGATCACCAAAATGCAATGGAAAGATACATGGAGGGCATGAACATATTGCAATACATTACAAATGAAGAATTAGGTACAAGTGGTGTAAAGACATGCATGATAGAAAAAGAAGATGGGGGGGGTGATGTGGCAAGAACCAAGGATAACTGATGGACAGTCCACATTTTCCATTGGTATCCTTATAATGTCATGACAACACAACACATTCAGCATGTTGGGGAGACTCCCACTGGCTGACTTAGAGGGGAATATGGTTAAGAGTCAGATAGGAGGATCAGATGTGGCTAGGTTACAATCTATATCATTGAAGGGAATATCTATATTGATTAGATCATAGATTCATTGGAATATTTTATTAACAGATAGGGATCAAGTCAGTGAAAAAAGAGCAAAATCTAAAAACACATATCCTCATATATGTGCATACAATATATACATTCATGAATGCATGCACACATACACACATATACATATATATGCCCCAGGAGGTTGGACACTGGGATTGGGGCTTTCCTCCTGGCTTTTATTACTTATATAACTTCTACAAGTTAATATCACTAGATCTCATTTTTCTCACTTGTAAAATGAGAGGGTAGACTAGATAAGCTCAAGGTGTCTTCCAGATCTAACTGTCAAATAGTTCAATATTAGAAACTGATAAGATTTTATCAGTGGAAATGACATTAAAGAGGAGGCATTACTATCTGCTTTGCTGCTGTACTCTAAGGATTATAGGACCTTTCCATCTGATTTGTAGCTGAAACTTTCCATATGTGTTGTCTCTCCATTAGGATGTGTCCTCTTTGAGAGCGTGGCCTGATTTATTTTTCTATTTTTACCCCAAGTACTTATCAAAGAGCTGTGCATATAGCAAGTACTTAATAAATCTTTCCTTCCATCATTCATTCAAGTAGAGAGGACACAGAGTCTTAATTCCTTCATCTCTTAAAGAGGAAGTTGGACTAAATGATCTCAAAGATCCTTCTGGTTTTAACTCCTATGATTTTGTGATTCTATACTGATGAGGCCAATGACTTGTTAGCTTTGTGCAATTGTCTGTTGATTTGATTTCTATGGCAAGGACTGGATTGGGGTGTGGGAGATGTTAGGTCACTGTGGTCTTCACCACAGTTCTATCACCTGGCCCACAGTCTGACCTTCACCAAGTTGTGATGTAGGCTTTGTGTAGGGTGGTAACTGCAAAGCCAGAAATGAGAATTTCAGGTGGAAGTGGGGGCTACTGTGAAGACAGAAATTTCAAGAGTGGTAGAAACCAAGAAACAGATGAGCTAGTAAGGGACATCTGGAATTCTGTACTCATTTCTAGGCTCCATTTTGGCTGTTCCCTTTTGAATCTGCTACAAGATGCCATTAAATGGGTTAATCTATTGACAACACTGGCCTTAGGTACTTGTGGGAATGACCAAGGGAATGACTTGTCTTAAGATTAGAATAAGAAAGTATTTTCCTAGGAAAATATATCCTTAATGCCATATGTATGTATTTATTGGTTGACCTTCTAAGATACACACACACACACACGCACACTTTAAACTTTCTCCAAATTGGGTCAGACATACAATACATGTGCTAACAACTAATTTTCTCACTACCTTGGCTCCTGTTTGTCATGGCTGATAGGAGGCAGAGATGCCCCACCTATGTGAGTATGGCTAGCAATGGGCAGGGACAGGGAAAGAGAGAATATTGCACCTGTTTGCATCCATTTTAAGCAGCAACATCCAGAGCAGTGAGGACCAGAGCTAAGAAGGATTTGTCCCATATAAACAAACACTTCCATGAGAAATAACAGGATAAGCATTGCCCTAATGGTGAGAATAAATTAAAACCTACATATTTATACAAGAAAAGAAATAATGCAGTTGACTTTAATACTGAGTCATTTTGTAGCTCATTTTTCAACAGAGTTGAAGGTCATTTAAGGAAGAATGCTCTTACTTGGTACTTGTCAAGGGTCGACAATAGGCTAGGAACAGTAAAGAGCATAGAAGAAAATGATAGAATAAGTCACTGTCCCTGCTTGATAGCCCTGAGCTATTTAAACTGTATCAAGTTCAAGTTGTTCTCTATGTCTGGAATGTCCTCCCTGCCCCTCCTAGATTGTTGAATTCCTACCCAACTTTTAAAGCCCAACTTAATATCTACCTCCTCTTGGAAGCCTTAGAGAGGTAGTGTGGTATAATGGAAAGAGCACTGTATTCAGAATCAAAATACCCGGGTTTGAGCCCTGGCTCCCGCCCTACTTAGCTGGCGATTGCTGGCAAGTCACTTTGTCTTTGATTCTAGTTTTCCTCATCTGAAAATGAGGATAATACTTAATTCTTTATAGAACAATGAGCAATATTATCGTCATCCTCTCCCAAATGGTAATTATTTTTTTCTTCCCAAGAGTTCATAGTTTTTTGTTTTTTTATTTCTCTAATGTATTCACCTTGAAATATTATCTGTTATGGTTATGTGTTGGTCATCTCACCCATCTTAGACTACAAGCTACATGAGGGAAGGGACCAAGTTTATCTTTACTTTTCACTTTTCCTAATGCCAACACAGAGCTCTGAACAGACTAGGTATGTCATAGATGCCAATTATATTGTTGAATTGAATTAGATGTATCAACTATGGGAGGACTTTGCACAAACCAAATTTTAATCGCATTCTTTCTCGTTTGCAAAAGTCTTCTATCTTAGATATATTTGATGTTCCTAAATTAATCTGCTCTCCCTTTCTATGGTGAGTATTCATTATATCTTCAATCACTTCCAACAATTACTTTCCATGTCCCACATGAAAGTAATAGACAAACTGCTTTTCCATATGGAGGTATCCTTTTTTATTCTCTGCTTTTTTATCTGCCCCCAAATTCCATAGATATACTGTTTTCACCCCCCAAATCCCTCTATTGCCATTCACTATCTTTTTTAGCTCTTATTTCCTCTATGAATGACTTGGGATATGCTTTGGCTTAGTGTCCTAGATGAGAGATTGACTTTCATATTTCTGTTTCTCTTATTGCTATGTATGTCAAAGAATGTTTATGGATTACTTATAAGGAGGCATTTCATACAAGTGATAGTCTAGGGAGGGACTTAATTTTAGCTTCTCTAAGTAGGTTCCCTCTCCTTCACATTCCCAATATTACTCAACTGCTTGTTGTTCCATCATTACGGTTTTATTCCTTTGGGCACTGAAGTCTTTGCCTTTAAAAATCCCTAAGTTGTTATTGCTATACAAAACTGACTTCAGTTATCAGCTAAGCCCTTTCCACAGATTAATTGACAGTCAATTTGAAACAAAATTGGACAAAGGACAAGAGTAGGAAAGGGGGAACCCAAGAGAGGGAGGACACTAGGAAAGTGGAAAGGGGGCACAGATACAGAAAGTAAGAGAGTACCACAGCAAAACTTTGCCTCTTTCACAATTTCTGCTTGGTGCCCAGCCTGTGTGCATTAATTCCAAATCCTCTGGCAGACCACTTGTGCCATAGGTTTCCCATCTTTGTCCTAAAGAGTTAATTCAGTTTCACATCAAAATATCCTCAGTCAGTAGGGTCAATGTACTCTGTGACTGTCCCTAAGTGTGATGTGCTATACTTAGAGGCTGACCAGCTATTGTTGCCTGTCACTCTTGATAAGGCTACCAAAGGACTTTCCTCTCCAGATCTGTTAATTCCTAATGCTTCAAAGAACATACTAGTCTGATAACTAAGGTCACCATCTCCTCTTTCCTCTCAGAACTTTGGCTATTTTTCACATGTGATGACAGATGTTCCAATAGTCCTTTGAGGTTTTGTTTTGTTTTTTTTGGTACTGGGGATGAATTTGCATACACCCACCCACTTCTCTTGCCCTCTTGGGCCAAGGAGTCATCTGGCCAGAGTTAGAAAAGCAATTGAAGTAGAGCTCACAGGCTCAGACAGGGATCAAAGCTGTGACTGCAGTAGTCTCATTAGCACACTGTTGCCCAGTTAAGCTAAAAAGCTGCTGTGGTTGTTGTTGTTGAGTGTGTCCGACTTTACGTGACCCCATGGACTTTCGTCCATGGGGTTTTCTTGACAAAGATACTGGAGTGATTTGCCATTTCCTTTTCCAGTATGTCCATTTTACAGATGAGGAACTGAAGCAAAGAGGGGTTAAGTATCTTACCCAGGGTCACATAGCTAGTAATTTCTGAGGCCGAATTTGAATTCAGATCTTCCTGACTCTGAGCCTGGTGCTCTATCCACTGTACCACCCAGATGCCCTAAAAAGCCACTAGACCCCACTAAAACCTTGATGGAAACTAAGTATATATCATGAACAGAGCCCTAAAACTTACCTGTTCTTTGCAATCTCTACCAAAGGAGATTACATTCTTTTGCTGTTTATCTGCATGCTAAAGTTCTGGGAGTGGTCTTGGAGCAGAGCATGCCAGCCTCACCCCACCCTAGCAGTAGCTAGAATGGTCTTGGGCTAAGCCAGCACTGCCATGGTTGGATTCTCAAGGGCCTCCTGATGCATTGCAACAGATGTGCCTTGTACATATCTTCTCATTTATTCATTACACCCTAATGTGGATATTATCTAACAGTCACTCTATTAGTACACTGGCTGGCCGACTGTTGGCTCCAAGTCATTTGGTTTTTATATCACTCTGACTGAGCTCAGTTTACAGAACAAAACATAGAGTGGGAGAGCTGGAAGGGGCCTTGGACATTACCTAGCCCATCCCTCTCATCTTACAGGTGAGGACATCAAAACTCTAATAAACTTAGTTAAATGACTTATCCAAGATCTGACAGTTGATTAAACAGGCCCAAGACAAAAATCAAGACTCCTCTCACTCACAGACTAGTGCTCTTTCCAATACAGCTCCTTGCCTGAGTCTATAAATTCAAGAGTCATTTCTGTATGTTCCCTACAGTTATTGCCACTCTTGTTCTCCCACAAACACGTCTTTCTGGCATTGCTTGTAAAGGCCTGTTCATCCACTTTCAAGTTCAAGAATACTGGACAGGACTATTCTCAGACCTCTGCCTTACAAATAATGAGCATATTTCCTAGGTCTTAGGCAATGTCTGAGAAAAAAAAATGTCATATGACTACCATTATTATCTCTGCATCTGTAGAAAGGAACAATTCAATTAACCAGTCTCACAAAGAGATGCGAATAATACCGTACTTTGGGCTTACAGTTCACACCGGCTAAAGTATGAAAAAAAATCTCAACATGTCTTAGTTACATATCACTTTTCCAATGCAGACTAGCTCTTTTTATATGAAGAACAGAATCCTTGGCTTGATTCTTCCAGGAACTGAACAGCCTACATCCCTGCTTCAATCTAAAAGACTTTCTAATATTTGAGAAATAAGGCCACAAGGAAAGGATGGATGTAAATTGAAGAGTTTGAAAAAAAAAAAATGAGGGCCCAGGGTGCCCAGTGGAGAGTGCATGCTGTGGGATCCTACCTTATCACACTCCCCTAGCCTCTCTTTCTCCAGAAGCTTTTTGGTCTCTTTCTCCCAATAGGCCATCAGCGCCTCTCTGCTGAAAGTCCCTGTAGGGGTTTTTTCTGTCAGGCTCTTTTGCCTTAGTCCCACTGGTAGATTTCTGCTGGGTTCAATATCTTCCAGCTCCCTCTCCAGCTCCTTCAGCTCCTCTGCTGACAGCGAAGCAAGGAGTTCATCCTCATCAATGGATTCGTATTTGCTCAGTTCTCTTCTGTAGCCAAAGGTAGACATGGTCCCCGTTTTGTCAGAACAGCAGAAAGTGTGAAGAATCAGGCATACAAGGCGGTCAGAAGCAGGCAGGGACACGGGCAGTCAGGCTGGCAGTCAGGCTGGCTGGCTTTTTGGTCAGCAACTGGTTCTCAGAGTGGCTGCGATATCCTTTTAAGACTAGTGATACAGGGTTATGACAATGCAGAGAGGGGTGAAAGCATAGGCTGTTTTAAGCATCAGACGTCAGCCAGACATTTTAACACAAAGAATGTCTCATCAGTGGTTGTTGGAGGTCTTGAAACCAGTGGGGATTATTGACATAATGACCAATGCCATATTTAACTCAGCCTAGTAGGAGAGACACTGTGCTCTCCCATCTATTAAACGGAATAGGTTAATACGTGTTAGAGAAGGAGAAATAAGTTCCAACACCCTTTGTTGTCAAACAAGCAAGAAATTTATTTTGAGAACTAACCACCACTGCTACCACAACAGAAAAGAATATTTTAATGTTGTCCTAAGAGGGGAGGGTTGAAAGTGACCTTCCTCTGTTCACAATAATCTAGGAGATAGTTGTCTTAGGTTCCCTGTTTTCACTGACAGCTTTGATAAGGAAACAAGAACTATTTGGTTTTCACTCTAGTATCTCCTTAAGGGATTTCTAATTCAGGGTATTTGCTCAACAAAATTCCAAAGCCTATTACTAAAATTACAATGTTCATTTCAAAGTGACTATTTGGGGGGGGGGGGGGAGGACCATGGTTCCAGATATGTGATTTCATCCAGGTAGGAAATTTCCAGTGAGGAAATACCCTTCACTAAAGCAGATTAGCACTTGCTCTGCAATTTAAAATTTTAGAGAATTGCCTAGGGCATTTAAGAGGTTAAGTGATTTGCCCAGGGTTATACAACTAGTATGTGTAAGAGGTAGTACTTAAACCAAGGGTAGGAAAACTGCAGCCTGAAGGGTGAGGTGGCCCTCTAAGTCCTCAAATAAAGTCAAAGGGCTACACTTGAGGACCTAGAGAGCCATATGTGGCTTTGAGGCCGCAGGTTCCCCACCCCTCACTTAAAAACCCAGGTCTTCTAGACTCCAGCTCTTTATCCACGTCACTATATCAACCTCTCATGTAAGTGATTTTATAAATACTCAAAATGAGGACTCATCTCGGGTGTGAAAATTAAAGAGAAGCAAATTCTGTGTTTTTGTTCAGACTTGTGCAGGGAACTCCTGGTATGCAATCTCCCTCCACCAACGTAAATCATCTGTGATTTAAAATCTGAGAAAGATGCCCGGGAGCCCTGCCAGGTTAAATAATCTCCTCACGGCCACGCTGATAACGTGTCGGAGGCAGGGCAGATCTTCCTGACGCCATGGCTGGTCCTGTATGTAGGAACTTCTCTGTTGGAGGATGACATTTGGGCGAAATCATCTAAAGCTTGAAACGTAATGCCACCGTGAGAGGCACACGAAACGAGCTGAATTCATCCATGTCATGGTGGCGCTAATTCCCTCTTTCTTATACGTTGTGATAGGATACCAGTTCCCTGACACACAACCCCCAGCACCTTCTATCCGGCCCAGCTTCCCAAGCCCCGCCCCCACCCCAGGTGGAGCGTCCTCCTTCCGCCAAATCTGATTGGCTCCAGCTTCTCTGACGCACTTCCTGGCCTAGAGGCAATAAAAGGCCCTTACGGAGCCCAGGCTCCTCAGACTTGGTGGGTGCTCGAGGCCATGTTGGTCGCTGCACACCGATGAAGGCTGACCAGTGGTGTTCCCGATGGAGGTGAGAGGGGCCGCGTGGAGACAAGCTAGTGCCTCCCCATCCTTGCTGTATCTCCTTGTTGCATAACCTGGCTGGTTAGAGCAAAATAAACCTCCGCCTTTGTTTAATGTTCAGTGACTCAGAAACGCCTCATTTTGTCCCAGCAGTGACCCTGAACTAAGAGAGCCCCGGCTTTAGGGTGAAGCTTACAACATCTGTACGTTGTGTTACCCTTGAGTTCCCAAATGACGTCACAATAATCGAAATATCTGCTAGAAATCTACTAGTTTTAAATGGCTACACAAGTGCCTTAACTTTGCCTCAATTTGACCACTCAGTCTTTCACGTGTGTCTATCTTCTCGTGATAATTTTAGAAAGTATTGTCTGTCTTTTAGGCATAGCAGGATATGCCTGAAGCCGGGTGTGTAGTCCAGTCCATCATCTTATATATATAGTAAAAGTTTACAAGTGGGCATGTATTCTGTAATTTTAATTGAATTTACACAGAATTTGCTACATGGATAAAACTTACAGAGATACATAAGTAAGGGTGGCATTTCACAGATTCTAAGAATTAAATTTTAATAAATGAAAATAGGATTGAAATTATTACTAGTACAATTTACCTTTCACAGCACATTTCTGTTTCATTGGCAAATAAACTAGATTTATAGTTAAGGGAATGTGCATATTCTCTACTTTTATATTGAGAACAGTTAAAAAGTTAAATTCATAATGCATTGATTTGGGGAATAATATTTACATTTATAGTTTTAGTGTCCTTTGTACTCTTCAATTTTTTATCACTTGCCTAAGATTTCCCAACTTGGATGGCTGTGGGTCTGACTCCTCTCCTATCACATATTATGTTACTTTATTTACTCAGGGAAGTCAGTGTGAAGTTACTTAATTCCCAAGAGATATCTCAAACTACCCTGCCTTTCCCAATAGTAGGGCCCTTCAACTTTTTATGGAGACTGAGAGTGACTGAATCGAAGCAGACATTTCAGAGATTCCAAAGTGGCTTATTTCAAACAGTTTTTTAAAAATGACCATTTGCAAGAGTTCTTAAGCTGAGTTCCATGAACTTAAAAAAAAACCCAAACTATGTATTTTAATAGGATCTTTTTTTGGCAATCCTATGTATTTTATTTTGTATATTTAAAAATATTAATCTGAGAAAGGATCTCTAGGCTTTACCAGGCTGCCAACCATGTGCCACTATGACTCCAGAAAAGGATATAAGAATTCCTGATTTAGAGGCCTCATCAGTTTTCATTCTCCTTACCTCTCCACTCCTCAAAATAGATTGGTTTGTGGGGTTTCTAGGTTTGCCTGGTTTGCTGTGTTGTGCTTGTAGAACACAAGAATTGATGCTTTTTCTACACAATTTGACAACACAATAACCAGAACACCTAGTATTATACTATGCATGTGGGTGTTTTTGTTATCATTAGTTTTTCTTAATAGTTATTGTTGTTTTGTTTGGACCTGTGCTTTCATTGGGGTGGGAAAATCCCTTCACTATTGCAGATTGCCTATATTCTATATTCTTAGACAATTTGTGAATGGCCAAAAAGGTAGAATGTGCCAAAGGCACATTGACTCCGAGACCAACCTTCTTTCTACCTTCCCCTACTTCCTCTCATTTATGCTGCTGATGTTCAGGGGATATTAGCAAATGGTTAAAGATCATGTACTTCCAAAGCATTGCATTATTTTGGATTTTTAAGTACCTTTCAAGATATAAATCTAGAAAAATAATGAGGGCCATAGAAGTTATTTACAGAGTTCTAGAAAGGTCCTTTTGTCTAAATAGCTTCTTCTCTCAACTTTTTTCCTTTCCCCATGAAAATGTAATTGAATTAGAATCTTCAATATGCCACCACAACTATTATACATAGCCATACATATAACCTTGATTTCAGCTATCCATTGGTCAGAAGGGAGACTGCACAAAGGTTTATGGTAGAGCCAGAGAAAAATCTATTGCCACTACTTGAAAACCTTAAAACACATGCCCTCCCAATTGTGGGGCAATTATCATAGCTACCTTACAGAGCTATTGTGAGAAATTGCTTTGTAAAACATAATGAGCTGTATAAATGTGAGCTCTCATTATTATTCCTTCACTTCCTTCATCTTGGCAGTCAAGTGCCCCTGGAATCCTGAAGGCAATGCTAGGTTCCACCAAGCTGGAAAGACTTTGAATATTCAATGAGATTCAACTGGAACTTGGTCTACTACGAGCAAGGCACTATGCTAGATGCTGGGGTTACAAAGACAACGGATGAAACAGTTCCCACTCTCAAGGAGCTTACGCTCTACCAGATGGGAAAGAAGGAGTGTGTGAGACTAATCACTCTTGTAGCCCCTTCATGATTACCAGATTTTCTCAGTTTGAGCAAGCTAATCACCAGAAGGTTGCCCACCAAGGGTGAACTTTTGCACAGTCTTTTGACTTAGGAAGGTCAACTGTCAAGGATTATTGATTTGTATCATTTGAGGGAGTATTCATAACAGCAAAAACCATGAATTCTTGAAATATGGATATATTATTGCTACATGAGGGAGAGCATTCGTTTTATAATTAAGCCAAATAATCACCAGAACTAGGGTTGTCTTTTAGATGTACATTCAATTTACTATTTCTGTTTTTTAGAGTAAACATTTCTTAAAACTATGTGCAAGGCTCAGTCTACACTGTGGTAGAGATGCATCTTGGGTGATAGAGCATTTTAGGGACTTTTCTCTCTCCCACCTCTTAGCTTTCCTCAAAATCCAAATGTCTTAATATAACTCCTAATTTACAATAAAAAATTTCATTAACAAATGAGCAATTTGATCTACCTTCTCTGCACAATAAGATAACTACCAAGGATGATACTGACAGTTATCTGAATCATAACAAGCAGGAGAGATAAATGGAAAGTAGTGAGAAGAAAAATACTTCTTTCCTCTACTTTGGATTTTCTCTGCATTGACTCTGCCTCTAGTGTAGTACTTTCCACAAGTCTCAGATCAGAATTCCTATTTTTAAACATTAGCCGTATTTTGGAGTTTCTGCTCCCTTAAGTTAAATGCCATTGGCTAAATTTTCGCTGAAGATGTTTAAGTTTTTTTTTCTCCAGGCATCTTAGCTTTTTCATATAAAATGTTTGAACTTGTTATGAGTACACTGACACAGCTGGTGGTACAGTGGAGAGAGCTGCCAAACCTGAAGTCAGGAAGACTTGAGTTCAAATTCAACTTCAGACACTTAGCCAGCTGTGTAACCCCGCACACTCAAAGTTCAAGTGCCTACTATGAGTAGAGAGAAAGAACTCTCTGCAGAGTGCTAGGGAAGATTCAATATAT